AGAGAGAGAAGTAAATACAGGCACAGGATATTTATGTGACGCGCAGGTGCATTATGTAAACGAGCATTTGCAGACAGGCAGACAGTTCAATCAGACATCGGGTGACATAGGCAGTGCATTGAAGAGGTGTTGCAGGGTGAGTAAGACTACCTGGACGGGTCTCCAGCGTGGTTCCAGCATGTCCCGCTTCCTCCTCGCCGACTTACTTGTGGCCGTCGGTTCCTCCGTCCTTCTTTATGTGGTAAGATTGACAGAAAGAAACAGGAAGGAAGGTACCAGGCTCCCTTTGGCTCTCCTCGTTGACTTCTTCTATCCGTCGGGATGCAGCTCTGCCCTCGTGCTCTGTTTCTTTTCCTCTCTACCCTCTCTGCTCCCGCCCGACCCCCTTTCGGTAGCTGTCTCCTCTGCCACTTCTCCCCCTTTTCCGTCCTTCCTCTATATCACTCTACGCTTCTCTCTCTCTCTCTCTTCCTTTCTCTCCTTCTCTCTTTCTCTCTCTCTTTCTCTTTCTCTCTCTCTCTTTCTCTCTCTCCTCCCTTGCCCAGTGTTGTCCTCTCGCCCTTCTCTCTCTTCTCTAGCACGCGCTTGCTACCTATCCACCTACTGTCTTTCTATCTATCTCTCTTTCTCTCGAAGCACCGCGTGCCGCGCGCGCCACGTGCACCGCCGCAAAGTTGAAGAACGATGCCGGGCTCTCGATCGGAGTTGATGAGCGCGTCGATGAAACGAGACAAGCGATTTTCAAAGACGCCGATGTTGATTTCTTTTTCTCCCTTCCTCTCGCCCTCCCTCTCTCTTTTTTTCTCTTTCTTTCTTTCTCTCCGGGGTTGAATGCCGGAGGGGGGTGGTGGCAGACGGCCACGAAGGACGCCCTCTCTCTTTCTCTCTCTCTCTCTCTTTCTCTCTCTCTCTCTCACTCACTCTTTTTTTTCTCTCTCTCTTTCTTTCGCAACTTGGGGCAACGTTCCCTCGCCGTCGTGGAGACAGGCAAAACGTGCGCCGAACGTAGCGGTGCGGGGTTGCGTGTGCAGGTTTGAAGAAAAGGGGGTATAACCGCGCGCCGGTGGCTGCCGTCGCGACTGTGCGACGCTCGGCACCGCTTAGCCGCGAAACCCTCCGGCCGCGGCGAACACGCGGCTACTGAGTCGGCGCATTGCGAGGACCATCGCGGCGTCTCGCTCCCGTCGACGGCGCGCAGCGGCCGTGGTGGCGACTCCTTCCGCTTGACGACTTCCTCCTCTTCGTCACTCTAGCGCCGTGCGTCCTCGTCGCGCGCGTTATCGCACCACTCTCGCGGGGTGATCCTCTGTCTTTATCCAGACGGTTCATTCTCTCTCGCTCCGTGAGTGTTTCTCGGCTCTCCGGAGAGAGGCAGTCTTGTCGGTTGCGGCGTGGCGCGCTTCGGCGAGCGTGCTGATCCACGCGGACTGTGTTTGCCAATTTGTATTGTACTGATTTTTCTCTTGATACAATTCGTTAGCTCTCTTTCTTGACTGAATGCTTCCTGATTTCCATCAATAAAGAATTTCGTATAAAGATTAATAGTAATAATTTTATTATATTATTACACACAGTATCAGTATAGTAGATGTTTTGTAATCCGCTAAATAATCGTAAAAAAGTATTTTTTATATTTGAAATACGGAAATGACACGTTTATTCGTCTAATCGATAATCCTTATAAATGTTACACATTTAATTTTAACTTGATTCTCTTATTTTTTATATATTTTTAATGTTACAGTCATAGCAAGATACATATTATCGTGTTATTAATACTTTTGACCCTAATTCTTCCAAATTTAATTTTAAACTGCAAAACGCGAAATAATCACATATATAAATGCACTACACACGTACATTCCCGCTAATAATTACAGTACCTTGAATGACTGCGATGATTTTTGGAGTTTAGTATTTTCAAAGAAGAATATATAATGTGTATTGTTGAAAGCTAACTAAAAAATATTCAAAATCTAATTCAACAATAGTTGTGTAGTATTTCACGCAACTTTATCATACGTTGAATGATAGAACATGAGACTGACAAAGTCTCTTCATCATAAACTGATGTCTTTGACATGGCATATGTGGTAGGAGTATAGATGTCCATGTAGTTATTGTTATCGATTCGACCTACTCCTAAGACCAGACTAAAGCCGACCTGTTCTGATGTATTCATCATGCTCAGCATAATTTCCCACCCTCCTGCTTCGAGGCGCCCTCGAATAGCTTTCGACGCGTCCGTCCCTTATTTGCAACATAACGAAATATTAATCAAAGTCTTCCTAAAATTGCTCGGTCTTTCCTCTCTAAAATTTGCGATCGTCAAAATATTGAAGCTTTTGCAGTTCGCTTAATATAGTTTCTTAATAGATTGTGATTAATTTATCTTGCTTACCGTCATATAACCCAATCATTAAAAATTATTATGTTATTTACAGCATGTAATTAATTATAAAAATGCAATTTAAAAACAAGCGCAATTTATGATATCCATAAAATGCTTTGATGAAGTGCATTTACTTACAAAGATATGTGACAACTATTTTACAATGACATTTTATTATTAAAAACATATCTTTTTTATGAAACAATTTGCTGTGTTATTTTTGTGTTTAAAATCTATACGCTATGCGTAATTGAAAAATCTTAAAGTCTACATTTAATCGCGATATTTTGCCATATGTCTCTTCTAAACTATAGTTACTCTAAGCGTTCTCACAAAGATTATAGAAAATGTGGTGCAAAAACTTTCATTGAGAGAATGTACAGTGTGTAAGATAGAAACTGTCACGGCTATAAATCAGCGCGATAACTGAAGATGGGCTGGTGACAATGTCGGGGAAAGCAGGTCGCCGGTAGGTAGGTAGGTAGGCACGGACAGCGCGCGACAGACTTCATAGCGGGCTAGTTTGTTGTTGTTTGTTGTTGTTGTTCGCGTTGTTTCTCTCGTAGCGGGACCGAACCGCGACACAATGCCGAGAGCGTGACGCTGGTATTGATAACAGCCTCTCCAATAGAGAAGCAGAGATGCTGGAAATACCCGTGATTGAAGATACATACTACCCCATTTTCGCCACGAACAACTTGCACTTAGAGAATCGCATTGGGAACGTTGCGATGGTTCCCAGACTGCACGGCGTCAATACACGTATGCAAGGCATTTTACCATGCACCGTTGAATTTATTATAACTGTTGCAAGGAAGAGAGAGAGAGAGAGAGAGAGAGAGAGAGAGAGAGAGAGAAGAAATTCTTACCTTTTTTCGCCGCGTGATACATAATCCTTGTTCTCGATAATCCTGGCGAGAAAAAGATTTTTCTTTATTAATTTTATCAATAAAGAATATTAATAGGAAGTACAAAAATCTGTGCATATAAATAATTTATGTAACGCTATAAACAAAATATATCTCTTTATGGTTAACTAGGAACAATCGTGACACTTTCAAATAATTTGCGGTCACATTAAAGTGTCACGTTAAAATTATTAACATACTTGTCATATATACGTTTGATTCCTAACTTCTGCTGTCATTCTCGAATGGAATCCCCCAAAGTCGACAAAGCATGAAAGAGAGTTAAACATGAAAAAAATGATATCTCGTTTAACAAACAGCGAACCAGACCGGACTTTGTGCGCTGGAAAATCGTCGATGCCGATATTCGACGAGATATCGCACAAACACCGTCATCCTGATGAAAAGATTGTCAATAACCTCTAACACCTGTTGCGCAGTTTAGCGACGGATTTTATTCTCACGCGTGGGTTATATTCATTTATTGGTTCGCGGATTTGACGGGTCGCGTCGCGTCGTGTTGTGGAACGCGCGTCGATACACGAATGACGCGGAGCCTCCAACGCGGACCGACTGCTGTAATAAAATCATGTTCAGTTAGAATTTTTTAATAAAATACGCAAAATGTAGCGGACGTCCTTGCAAAGGATTGCAAACCAATTTTTACGTACAGGCGTGCTCGCAACTTTCCCCATGAACAGATGACATTTTTATTCGATGAACTAAAACCAAATTTTTGACGAGTTTATGAATGGAGAAAAGCGCTTAATTGTTTATAGCTGTTAAAATTATTATTTTTGATATACTTTTAAATGTGAAAAAATATGTAGCTTATACCAGAAATAAATATTATAAAAATTTTACTCGTTATTTATTTATTAATCTGTCAATCTATCCTTTTTTTTAAATTAATATTAAAATGTGTTTAGATAGGCTATTTACATCGTTAGTTTTTTGTATTGCAGTAAAGTATCTCGATACGTGATTTATTAATCGGAATATATCGGAATCAAAGTTGTGCTTGCGCTGCGTCCAACTCAGAAGCAAGAGCCGAAAGGCTTGGAATTCCGTAACAGGAAACCGGTGTCATCCCAGCCACAGCATAGGAGATGCATTTCGTAGTGTTGTTGATTTTTGCATAATTTATCAAGGTTGTTTGGTTAAGCGAGCCGTTAGGGTGAATCGCAGGGGTTGCTGAGCTCGGGAGTTACGCCGTGGGGCGACAATTTCAGACACCCTTCGCCAAGATGATTAGCATCCACGTCAGGGACGGATTTATCCTATTTCCATATATTTTTAAATACTGCTCGCAATTTAATAATTAAAATAATAACAGGTAACTATTATTGTAAAATAATCCGCAACACAAAATGTATAAGTAACGCTCGTCACGCGCTTAAAGCGCATCGTCAAAAGAACTATTATAATTTAAATAAAGTTCTTCTATTACGTACGATATATTTTGCATGACTCTCTAAGAGTTTATGTTAAAGATAGCTTCAGCTAGCGACGTAAGCAACTGCTTATAAACGTAACGACGTTCAATATCAAAGTCAATAACCTGTGTCTGACTACATCTATCTGAAACTACTTACGCCTAAATTTATACGTCTTTCCTCTTCTCTCACTGTCTCCCTGTCTCTGTCTCTGTCTCTGTCTCTGTCTCTGTCTCTGTCTCTGTCTCTGTCTCTCTCTCTCTCTGTCTCTCTCTCTCTCTCTCTCTCTCTCTCTCTCTCTCTCTCTCTCTCTCTCTCTCTCTCTCTCTCTCTCTCTCTC